CATCTATGCCATGCTCGGGTTCTTTTTTGTTGTTGTTTTGTTTTTCCCGGACCTTCATCCATAGGAGACAAAGGCATCCATCATTTTAGTGGCCAACGTGAACACAGGCAACAACTCTGACCAGATCTATATCCAGTTCGACTCTGAAGAAAATACAAAAAGCCTTTTTGGTGTGGATTTCATGTGAACCATTACGTTCAGGGCAACAACAAAACAATGACCTCCTGCAGTGGAACAAAGCAACCTCCAAATGTACAAAAGCTGCTCATGGACGGCTTGACGGGCCCGAAAGTTTGACCCGATCTCTAAACTCTACAGATTCCAGTCTTCGATCATCAATCATCAGTCAAACACGCCAAAGTCGGACAAATGCACAGAGAGCTCATGTTAAACCCCTAGGACAAAAACAAATCCTACCTGGTAGACATCATCAGTGAGCACTTATTTAAAAACACACTTGGAAAAAAAAAATGTAGACACAACATCACAGAAAATTCAAGTTTGCTGAAATAATCTCAGCATGGCATTTCTTAATTTGCTATCCTTCTTTTAAACACACAGACAATAATACAACATCTGTGGATCTCCTCTAGGCAACTTCTGTTAAAAAAAAAAAAAAATCTGTTTTCTTTTTTTCTCTCTCCTCTACTCTTTCTTCTCTCTGCTGAGTTTGGGCCAAAGAGCTGACAGCCAGTGACCTAGGAGTCTCCAGGGTTCCCGGGGAGAAAGGTAATGGGCCCAACCCCGGAACGCACTCTCACTCTTTTCACCCACGGCTGCCGGCGGCTTTGATCCAGTAGCCCCCACTTCGGTCTCCTGACGCCTGGTAAGGAAATTCATAGGAACAACTGGAAGAGGCCTGTGTTTATTCAGCCCCTTTAATGAGGAGGGAGACGGATTATCGGGGGCCTAAATCTCCCCCCAAAAAAACACAGGGAAAGAAAACTGCTGCTCATTCCAGATGTTGCTCCAACAGCAGTCACTCCAAAAGAATCCAGGAGAGCACGAGAGAGGGGGAGAGAAAAAAAGAGAGCGAGGGATGGTTTTATTACGCAAGATGGGGAGACTAGTGGTCAGCAGGAGAATCTCTCCATGTTTTCTCTGTCTGGCCAGATGTAGGAGCTGCCAAAGCGTCTCTTTGTGAACCCAGAGGAGCCACCCAGGGGCTGCAGCGAGAGCCCTGAGAAAGAGTATGCAGTTATTCTTTTCTTTTTTTCATAATTTTAAAAGCAGCGTGTTTAATAGCAGAGGTAACCAGAGCTTGTAGGCATACGTTTTACTTTAAGCAATTTGTGCTGTGTTAAAGAGAAAAAGAAGCCATTTCCTGAGCCTGCCACATGACTCCTAATGTGTTATTTTTTCAATTTTAGCACAGAGCTTCTTTGTAATCATTACTAATGCAGCAAAGCAAGTGACGTAGGAGCTGACGTATGAAGCCTCTCTGCCCCAAGAATGGAAACAGAAGCCTGATCCACTTATTAAGCAGCACAAACACTGCAGGTTGTGGAAAGACAAAGGAGCTTCATTCAGTATTGGTGACACCATTTTACCTAAACACACTGAGAAGAGCTGCACTGCACATCAGGCTCTTGACCCTTTGCAAACGGGGTCTGACGAGATCAATAGGTCTCTCTATTGTCAAATCATTTAGGAGCGGATTATAGGTCAGACACTGGTCAAAGATCCTCACACAGACAGACCAAAAGGTCAGGCTGACTGAATATTTACATGTGATTTCCAAAAATCAGGTCTGCATTGTGGGAACACCTGTAGTGAATAAAAACAGTAGCTGTTCTGCAGGCTGGTTTGTGACAATTTTCTCTCCCAGGTCAGTTTTCAGGCTAAAACATTTACTCCAACAAGGAGACCACTGTCATCACTGTCTGGTGACCTCCAGCAAGGTCAAGGCCATGGACAGTGACAGACTCGCAGGCAAACACACACACTCAGTGTGTGTGTCGAATGCGTGTGTGCGTGCGTGGAAAGGTGGGTGTGAGGGGAAAGGCTTGTTATAGGTCAAGTTCACAGATCACTTGGATCTTTAGATAAATGTAAGATTTAGAGAGTATTTCTTGATTTGTCATTTATTTTAAATGGCAATCTCGATGTGGTCTTATAAAAAAACATCAGTAGTACATATCTACTGATCAGATAGCCTCGCCATCAGTCTAACCTCGTACTGGTACAAGTTTAGAAGTCCTAGTTTTGTGTAAGATTGTAAAGGGAATGCCCAGTTTGACAAACATAATAATTTTATCTATTTTTAGTTTTAAATTCAAAATTCTCAATTCTAAATTCAATTTGGATTTATTTTATTTTTATTTTACTTATTTAACTTCAAATTTGTCATTGCACAATCTTATGATTTTTAAATCCTCTCCGGTATAAAACAGTGCGATAGGATAAAGTTTAAATAAATAATTAACTTGGTTCATGTTTAGATTTTCTGACACAACAATGGATGTTATTTATTAAAATTTTTACTTTTTAATTTATTCAAATAAATATTTTATTCAGATTGTCTGTAGACATTGTCTAAATTAGAACAACACAATGATATTTTCCTACAGAATACTCAAGACAAAGACTAAATATTTTCTTCAAATGACAAAAAGTTTCTGTTTCCACAATTTAGAGTAAAATAAATATTTTTGCTTCTGATTAACCTGTTTTTTTTGTAATATTGTAATGTTTTCAGCTATTTGGAAGGGGTTAATATCATTAACTGTGTTTTTATTTTCACTGACGGGCAGATCAGACAAATATTAGGCATGTTTTGTCAGATACAAACATAATACTTAGGATCAAACATTTTGTACACAGTTTTCTGCAATAACGACAACATTCAGAAACATCTATGTTACATTCTTTCAAGATTTTTTTTGGCATCAACTATTTTTTCTATTACAGAAATTCTGTTTATTTCTCCTAACTGACCTTAGGACATCTGCATTTTTTATTCCATTACATGTAGGACACCTCCACTCAGATGGTAATTACTGCAAGACAAAATGAGAATCTCCAACCTTGCCAGGACGTCCTGTAAACTACTGCCACCACAGGGTACAGAAGGTATGGCACATTAAAAAAATAAATAAAAAAGTGCTGCATAATATCTGTCCACCTAATCATGTGAATGTTTTCTTATGCACAACTTTTAACCATGCAACACTTTTCATAACCGACATGTGACTCCTCTTTCTTATTTATTTTATTTTTTTTGCATTGAATTTTAAAACAAATGCTTTGGGAGTCACAAAATATATTTTTTTTAAATAGAGCATCACATTATTTCATACTGTGTTGCCATTCGTCATGTCAGCAGATAAAAACAAAATTTCAACAGTACTATAAAACCCATTTAGATGGAATTAATGTCCTATTTTGCTGGAGAACTGAAACAGAAAATGACTGTGGTTACCAATACCGGACAGAGCCAGTTCATATCTTTATGAGGTCCAGAGCAGATTTGTGGAGTCCATTTCCAAACAAATCCCCTTTATTCCAGACTTGGTAGTGTAAGAGATGATGAGGAAATTATTGTACTGCTCACCAGCAACTATGGCAAAACAATTAAATAAATAAAAATACTCATTTACTTGTTGACATACAAACAGTTGTGTGCCTGAAATATGACCCAGTGTGCACATACAAGCAGCAGAAAATAAGATATTAAAAGTAATTTATGGTAACTTTTGAAATAATATTGGATTTTCTCAGTATGTAAAAAAAAATAATTAGTGAAATTGTTGTTTACTGATGTTCTCCTGAGGGTCCCTAGTAGGTAAAGGATCTTTAAGAAGTAGCAACATTTCTTTAAGTCTTGAGCCTGTTGTTTTACATTGTACATTTTCTGTTGTTTCACTTTTAGATGTACATCAAAGATGTAAGGTGTTTGCAAAGAGGAGGAATTTCTGTAAGTAAGCAAGGCAGACAGCATTTGTAAGGTTTTACACTGTGACTCATTTTGAACCAGTATATGAAACTGTGTCAAGCAGATTTATTTACAAAATGAATATAATTATTCAGATGTTAAGTTCTGAATCTTGTGAACCAGTCCCAGGTAGGTTTTTTTTTTTTAAAGTCATTATTATTTCTGCTCTTCCACGTTGAAGCTATTTATGTATCGGTGTTGCACAGAGACTACATATCAGATGTTTTCCAGCAGGTCCCTACAGGTTTTGCACTCCTTTCCTGTCTACCACATGTACCTACATGTGAAAGTTTTCTTGGAAATTTTCCCTTGACTTTCATATCTCCTCTAATTTTAATGACATTTCAGAGAGTGGAAATTGCATGGTGGAAGAGCTTCAATGTCTTTATATAGCCTTTCTCTATTTTGTAGGCATTAAACCGTATATTAATTTTTAGATGTGGACTGAATTGCTTAAAGGAGCTCGTGCTTACCGACGGCTACCACAAGGTGCAAAAGCTTGACGAAACTGAATGAATGAATAATCAGCTGGTCTAATGATTTATTAAATGAGGTGGCATGCCAAGGTTAGCATGCCAAAGGTCAACCTTATGGTCAGTAAGTCACCAGAAGATTGACCTATGGTCCATGTTGTTGTTGTTTGTTTTTCTTTTCAAATATTTCTTTAAAACCCCAAATAATTTATAAATTGAATCTATTATGGTTTTATAGGCTTTTGACCTGTCATGAATTTTAATTATTTTCTAAGATTTTATTAAGTGGTGTACTTTAAAAACTTAGAACTGGCTAAACGGTCAAAATTTGAGGACAAAAACTCCATAGTAAATGAGAAGATTTTACTGGTTCAATGAAATTGGTATTTACATTATAATAACATTCAATTGATAGTTTTGAATTTATTTATTTATTCTCTGAAGCATCGCTCATACTTCACATTTCCAAATCATTATTGCTTCATTCAAATCAAAGAATCTTGTTTCTCAAGATCCTGTTTAAACATTCTAATTTCCCACAGAGAAAAACATTTCCAGTGATTTAAAAAAAAATGTGTAAAAGAATAACTTACCCACTCTGAAACAGGGCAAAGGTGTCTTCATGGTCCTGTAAAATACAAGACATGTTTTGTTTTTTTTTTACTGTCTACAGTCTTCAACAGTTCACAAAATAACCTACTGAAAGAAAAAAAGATCTCAGATAATACTGAAGTAAACCATTGTTCTTGTTTTTCCTTTTATTTTATTACAATTACAATTCGCAACCTTTTGCCAACATCCTTCTGCCTCAGGGCTGTGCTAAGCTTCAACAAGATCTTATAAATAAATGGATAAAACCTGAATAATTTGGAAAATCACAGGCAGCCATTATATTGGTATTTTGCACTTATTTCTGCCTTCAGGTTCTGTATTCTTTTTTATAAAGTTATTACAACCAGAGGTTGATAAAAGGACAATCTACAAACACATTATGCAAAAAAAATACATAAAAGCTATGTTAAAAAATACAATCTTTGTCAGAGAAAATCTAAATGTAAATCAAAAACTACTCGTCTTTCATACACCGACGGCATTTTCATTATTTAGACCACTTTATTACAGCACTTTAGACAGTCCAATGCACTGTCCCTTACTTGTTTAAAATGTACTTCTCCCACTCGAATGATCACCCGCAAACATCTCACGAGAATACAAAGTGATCTGCACACTAACAGCCTGTGCATAGTGAAATTGCAACATGCAGTGGCATCCTTTTCCGTTTCCATTGAATGTTATTGCAAAAATGATACTCATGCAGTCATAAACTAATGGCATTTTTAAAAAAAAAAAATTAAACAACATACAAATTATATAATTCAATTTGTATATTGAGTTGGAGCCAGGTGTATACATACGTTACATAAAAAACACATATGCCTTTTTTTTGGTTATCTATTAAATGAGACATAAATATTTCTGCCTTAGCCAAACTTAATTCTATTTGCTCATTAATAATGAGAGAACAGAGAATTTTCAGATCTAATATCCAAGGACAAAAGTTGACATAACCTCAGATATTACTGTATTTTTAAGCAATGTGAAAAAGCCTACATGATGGTGATGTCATGGCTTTGTAAGCCTGTGACAGGTTAATTCCACATTCCAGCTGCATTCGGAACTGGAAAATTCCGACTTTCCCATCAGAAAAATCAACTGGAATGCCCTCTCAAGTCAGATTTCCCACTGGGAAACTGGGAGCAACTCCGACTACCCATAACTTTGCATTTCAATATGGCCGCTCCTCGCATCAACAGCGGTAAGATGTGGTGAAAATGTGTATTTCAGAATACAAGAAGTGCTCCTAAAATCAATGTTACCTAGTGCCTGCAACTATAACTTTAACACATTCATAGTGGTATTTGCTTATAGAAAGTAAAGCCTAAAATTATGTTTGAAAACAATGTTTTTGAGCGTCGCTGTGTAGAAATTCCAACTTCTTAACCAGAATGCTAGAACCTCAGGTCTGACATCAGATCCATCCCTGAGCTCTCACTTGTTAGGTAACTGGAAGGCAGCTTAAGTCACGTGGAGAAACACTTATGGTTGTATTTTAACACACACTTCAAACTCTCCCAATTTATGGGGAAAATCAAAGGATTTCCATTTCCAGATGGTTGAAGGTGCGCAGTTGGTCTGTATAAACAAATATGTGCAAGCATAAACATCATAGAAATGTCCAGCCTTTATACAAGCCAAGAAGGGGAACGGTTATGTGACCCAGAAATGAATACGCTTTGGCACAAAATGTGCAAACCAACCCCCTCTCCTTCCCCCCCAAAAAATAGAGTAAAAGAGCATCATTTATCACAGAGAAGTATACCCAAAATATCTCATCAAAGTCATACACTTTAAACAATAAAGAGGCCTATAAAAAAATTCTGAAAATGGACAAACTAATAGAAATATTTCTCAAATATTGTGTCCTTAATTAACCTGGCATTTGACATAGAGGAAATTTGAATAATCGTAACTGTCCATAACAGTAAAAGTTTAGTTTGAATTGAAGTCGGGCAGTGAGAAACGATATGTTGACGTATATTTAAACATTTAGTTTCAACTGTCATGACCAACGTAATCTTATCAAACCAGACCGCTTGTTGGTGCTTGACCACAAAAATCTGATTCAACGTTCAAATTTGAAACGTCATGTTTAATTAACTCATCCAGAAGGAATCGCAGTTGACTCATTGAAAGTGACTCCCACTTGGACATGCCTAACATTTTATTAAATATGTGGCTCGATAAATGCACGAGCATACATGCAAAACTTTGATAAAGGAGTAATGAGGCCACCACTCATGCAACTCGTCTTGGTGATGCTACAGGCATTACCTGCTTTCTATAAAGATCTTACTCTACTTCATGTTGTCAGGAAAGTTTGATTCATATTCTTGTAATCAGTCCTAGGTTTAGCTAACAAGGTCAGGGATCTCAAAGAATTGTAATTCCTGATTTAACGGGGAAGGAATTTAAGATTTACAAGTTATTTTTACTCAGAAGTGTCCTGCTAAGAAGAACTAAGACATGCATCTCTTAAAAGATAAAACAAGCACTAATTTAAGAAAAATATTGAACTGTTAAGTTGTTTTAACTCAGTAACAGTTAAAACATATTTGCAATGTTCAGTAGTAAATTATTTCAAGGTTATAAATAATACAACTTTTCCTTACCTCCCTGTGCAGGATAATGAGACGATGCCAATCAATCTGTAACCCCGCTCCTTAACAAGGTAAAGGCATCCATTCCCCTGACTTCAGGTCAGTAAGTAAGCTTGCTATTTTGGATGGCTGCTGCCGATTGTGTATGTACTTTAATAAGCAGTCTGCAGGTCGGGCAGATTTATAGGCCCATAGTGGGGTGGAGGGATCAGACTCCCCTGGCCTCCAGTTTCCCTCTGTGCCATTACGCCAGAGTGAGATATAGTAGGATATTGATCCCAATGCCACTTCATTTCGCTATAACTATTACACAATACTCTCCCAGGCTGCACGTGTCCCCTGATTTATGCTGCTTTGCTATTTACATTACCAGTAAGTGTTTTTCTATACCGTGTGAGGAGGGTCGTTCGGCCACAAGAATGGACACGAGAACATTCGCATTCTGCGCCATGCCCGTCTTCCTTTTGCTCTCCGTGATGCATTTTCACCGTAGTGAGGGTCTCTTAACACAGCGCTGCCTCCTGAGTGAGTAATGGATGATGCAGAAATAAATATTTGAAGAATGTTTCCCAAGCCAAGCCCTCATTACTGCACCACAATTGACCTTGAGGCAATGTTATTTTCTGCATTATGTCTTATTTAAAATACCTGCCTCATCACATCCCCTCATTAGAATGCTGTTATAGTTGAAAATGTATTCTAAATCATTTTATATTATTCATTTCCTCTCAGTGGTCGGCAGTATATACAGACAAATAAAAAGAAAAAAAAAAACATTAATACGCATGTGTTGAGATAAAGAATCATAATCTGCGATATTATGCGGTTGTATCACATTTATAGTGCATTTCCCATTACAAGGAGTGAAGCCCTTAAAGCTAAACCGGCAAAAAAAAATTCCAGTGGAAACACATTCTAGCACTTGCCTTTCCCTGATACAAATTTAATTAAGTGCTTCAATTCTGCAGATTATATCAAATGAAAGAAACTGTTGTCATAATTAGAACAATTAGGGTAAGCAGCCCGTGGCCCCTGCACGCCATCACCAGCTGCACACTCCAGATCTGGGTCTTTGCCAAAGTACCTTCCCTTGCAGTGCCAAGCTGGTGCTGCTGTGTTTGTTTACACACAAAGCACAGCTGTGTCAGTAGGCATGAATGGGAACGAAGGCTGAGAGAAAGACCCTGTGTTGAGCTGACATTCCCACATGGAGCCCCCACAGGTGGCACTGTGCCTCCGATACTGCTACTGCAGCATCATGCCTCTGGGAGAAAGGAAAAAAAAATTATAAAACAAACAAAAGGATTAATGACCCTTAATTGCTTTGGAGCTGTTTAAAATCAGATGAGTGCCACATAAGCTGGAGTATGTAAATCAAATCCCTCCCCCTCCTCGTCCCTCCTCCCAGTCGGGCCCCCTCGGCTCTCTCCCTCTGGCACAATCAAGCCTTTTTCTCACAAGAGGGCAGGGCAGCTGAGCGGGCTCGCTGCCAAGTGAGGGGAGCTGGCAAGCGTGGCAATGTAGAGACACTTGTTGCCACAATGCTCGCCTGTTACGCCAGCGCATGGCAGAAATTAGGTGGCTGAGGAGTGTGTGTGTGTGTGTGTGTGTGTGTGTGTGTGTGTGTTGGGGGGGGGAGGGGGGGAACAGATGGGCACACTATAGCCTCCACATGCTTCCGTGACAAACGGCAGAAAGGACACGTGCTCCGCTCTCAGCCCTCAAAGCTGGCAGAGACCGTATGCATTTCCCATTCATTAAGAGGCCCATTCATATGCAACATTAAGTGTGATTGTACACAAATGCCCCATCAGTAAGAAAAAAAAAAGGGGGGGGGGGGTTGTTTTCAAAGTTTGAATGTGTGCTTATGCATCTTTGAATGAGGCCGTTTGCACGGTGAGTGATCAAAAGGCCTCGTGGATTAAATAGTCGGGTAAAAGGAATATTTTAACAGATTTATTCCAATGTGCATGCATCTTATTCTTGATATTGCAATTGTTTGGGCTGCCACGGATGCACACTTTTTAGTCTACCGAATAATTGTGAGATAATGAAAAACAGGCTGAATGGGGAAAATATTTTGGAAACATTTTTGCTAATTATTAAAAAAAGAAAATTTAATGTCGAGTTTGTACCTTGTTACGAAGTCAGACGTCGGAAGTCTGTGACCAAGTGAGCAGTGAATGATGTTCTTGTTCTCTCTCCCCCCCCCCACTTCTCTCGTGTCCCACTGCTTCCACCGTGGCCATTACCATCAAGCCTTAATGCGTTTCCAGTACCTGCATACTCCACTGCTGCATGGAGTTTCGGGTGATTTAAAGACAACAACAAACCTGTCCCATTTTCCAAGTGACATTATTGATATACTGTCACTTCAAATTGCAGGTAACAGCTAATGGTTATTTTATGA